TCGACCGTAAAGTTGTATTCTGCAAAGAATGACAACCACCGCGCCATTCGTTGTGAAAGGTGCGGGCTGTTCACTGCCGTGCGTAATGACGCATGGTCAGTGTAAACAATGAAGGGTCTATCTCCTAATAGATAGACTCTGAACTTCGCGAGTGCATACTTCATGGCAAGGGGTTCCTTGTCATGCACTGGATAGTTCCGCTCAGCTGGTTGCAGCTGACGCGACTGATAGCAGACGACGCGTTCAACGCCTTCTAGGTCGTACTGCATTAATGCATACCGATTGCGAAATCGCTGGCATCACAGACCACATGAAATGGCCTGTCCTGATCGGCTATTGCTAGGACTGGAGATTGTATCAAGCTCTGCTTGATACCCTCAAAGGAGCGTTGACATTCAGCGTTCCATAACCACCTCTCGTTCTTTTTCAACAAACGAGAGAGGTGTACAGTCATCTCGGCGTAATTGCGTGAATACTTATGCAAATACGCCGCTAGCCCAAGGGGTTTTCGAAGACCTTTGACATCGACCGGCACAGGCCAGTCGGTGATCGCCTTGATCTTTTCGGGATCAAGACGTACACCGTTCTTACCAACGATGCACCCAAGAAGTGGTATTTCGCTTGCTGCAAATATACACTTCTTGAGGTTAGAATACAATTGATGCTTTCGCATGATTGTAAGAACTTGTCGGACGTGGTACCTGTGAACCTCAACGTCCGACTTTCCATCCATAGCTCGACTATGGATGAATACGTCATCGAAATAACTCGGCGCGAATTCTCGTACTGGTCTCAAAAGATGTGATACACATATGTTGAACGTGGCAGGGGCATTACTGAGCCCTTGTGGCATTACTAGCCACTCCCAGAGCATGCCGCTAGGCGTGCTTACTGCGGTTTAGGGTATATCCCGTTCCAGCATAAGGATTTGATAGAGGCCATCCATCAAATCCATGGACGAAAAGATGGTACTCTTTGACATACCATCAATGATTACGTCCTTCCTCGGTATCGGCGTCTGAGCCGGTACCGTTGCAGCATTCAACTCGTTAAATGCATGCACAATCCGCCACCCTCCTGTTGCTTTTCGCACACAGAAGGTCGGAGAGCTATGTGGGGAAGTTGATTCCCTCACATGGCCCGCAGCTAAACGATCGGCAAAGAACTTGTCGATCGCAAGTACTTTTTCACGAGGCAGTGGCCACTGCTTCATGACACAGTACTTCGAGCCTGGTTTCAGTTCGATCTCATGCCAAGAGCCTTTATCCTTTGGCAGCTCGCGTGGCACTAATTCGGGAAAATCCCTCAATTCGATTAATTCTTGTACAAAGGATTTGTCTTCAAAGACTTCCAAGATTAAGACGTGTACCGCTTAATCTGGATCTTCTAATCGACGACACTTTCATCCATCGATGAGCTACTGAGAACCCGTTCGATCTCATTAAGCACTTGTACCAGCCGAATATCGGCGACGTACTCGTCCTCTGTGATAAGTACACAGATCTGCTTGATCTTTTCACGACGCATATCTCGCAAGAATCTTTTAGATTTTAGCATTGGCAAATTGATTACCTTTGGAGCTGATTTCGGGGGTGTAACCAGATCAAGTGTATAAGCGCCTACACTTGATCCCTTATTCACCAAGACATTCACTGTCTCGGTGATTTCCTGGGTAAACAAATCCGCAGGTGGTTGTGAAAACACACCCTCAACATAACTCTCTCACGAGTTATCAATCTCAGGAACGCTGGAACTTTCTTCTGATACGTGTGCTGACTGTGGGTGTACTACCACGTCACGTCCTCTTCGATCGACTCTCTTTCAGTCAATCGGGCTTGCTCCACGATCAAATCTCTGATAGTCGACCTTGCTTCAATGTGTCGTTCATCCTGGACAACACTAATTTCTTTTCTCGGATGCACCCTTATTGGTGTGCATCCTTGTTCTAGTCCACTCGATCTCTTCGAGTGGTGAACCTTCGGCGCAGCCAGTGTCTCTACACAGGTCCCGGAAGCTGGTTCAACAGTGTAGTGGCCTACTAAACTGTGACCTTGTGCAGTCATAATAACGACCGTACCGCAAGTCAGGCCATCGCACTCACTCGTGGTATATCCACACGCTTGTAGACGCTCTTATACGTTCATCAGATTTACATCTGATGACTAACGGCAGGCATCTTCACGGATCGATGCTGCCAGCTGACCCATGGCTGGTTTTTTCTAAGCCATGGCAGACCGAGGATGACATCCAATTTGTCATCCAAATCCAGTACGATGAAGTCATCATCGCACTGCTTTCCTTCTAGTGCGTAGTGGATTCCCACTACAATTTCGTTCACTGTTACGGATGCGTCTGTAGCAAGGCACACCGTCATCCTCGTTGAAGGGAACTCTCGCTGAACATAGTTGAGTCTACTATCTCCTAGAGACTGGCGTCCAATGAAACTGTTCGACGCCCCACAGTCAACTAGGGCGCAAAGTGACATTCCACTTGTCACTTCGATCTTCAAAGTAATGAGGAACACCTCATCTCTAGGGGCAGTAACACACAGCGACTGTGTGTTGGGAGCAATCTTCGTCAAGATTCCTGCAAATTCTCTTGACGTTGCTGGATAAGCAGGGTTCTCCGCCCCTACTGACCCTAACCGTTTTTTGACGGTCCGACTTGCTGTCACGGCTTAGCGACATGGTCGGACCCACGCCTCAAATCCTTCCTTGGCCAACAGTGGTCATCACGTCCAGTCTTTAGACGTGTAGCGGTGCTCGGGACACGACACTCATGGGCGTAGTGTCCAATCTTCTTACAGCGATGGCATTTTGCCGTTCGCTTGTGACTCAGAGAGCGATAGTTTTTGCTCTTGATGCAACAGAGGAACACCGGTTCGAGACCTCCGGTTTCATGTCGTCTCGTCGGGAGATAGTTTGACAAGTCAGCCTGAGACAGTCTCAGGCTGAAGACTTCTTGTTCCGCATACGTTATCGCCTTTTCCAGCGTATGGAAGTTCTCTCGGGACAGGTAGGTCTTCACCGGCCCATCTACAAGACCGTAGATAAACACTTTGATGAGCATGTGCTCATCAACATGGTTTTCCGTACTCGAAGGTAGCGTAGGTGTTGTGCGTAAGCATGAACATCACGCGTACCTTGTTTTAACCTCAAGAGTGCAGAGGCGCGCTCTGAAATCGGCTCTCGGCGGCTCAAACGTGTCTTTAATCCGAGACTCCAAGATATCTAACGACTCAAACACGTTTGAGTCACGAAGCTTGAACCCTAAGACCCAATTCTTTGCTCGTCCTGTCAAATTTGATAGGGCGAAGGTGACTTGCATCTCGTCACCCTCGATGTGACGGGCCCTGATGGCATCGTCTAACTCGACGGACCATATCAAAAGGGAACCTTCATCGGTTCCCTAGTGCCTTGAGATATCAATCTTCAAGGTTTCGGGTCGACGCCTATGCGTCGGCCCGCCCATCGACTGATGAGAGCCTTGCTGTTGTAGCAAGGCTATCTTCTGTCTTTCGAAGGCAAGTTCCCCTTGTAGGAACTTGTTGATAGCAGCATGTTGCTGGTCTCGCTTATAGACTCCAACATACCACTGATGGCGGGTTCGCCCATGAGCACACTCATGCAGCCGACTACCTCCCATTATGAATCACTCAGATTGGGGTAGCCTTCACGTGTGACGTGAAAGCTGTCGTCTTCTACGTCCAACAGGTTCATTTCGGACGGACACTAAGTAATCGTTGGACGGACTACGAAGTGCTACCAGGTGTAACGGGGCATCTTTGCTTGGGGTGCCGCGAAACTTCACGTACACTAGTACGTGCAAAGGAAGTTAATCCACTCAACGTCTAAGCTGAGTAAAGGGTAAAAAAGGGAACTGTATTCAGTAAAGTTAAGCTATCACTATAACTTCAGTGTTTATCCAGCTATATTAATCTACACTGTCGTATGACGACAACCTGCTCACCACTCATTACGCGCGTCTAGCAGCGATTGGTGGTAAGCTTGGTTGCTATGTCTTTATCAACTGATCTTTGAGCAGCGCATGAATGTTCTCCTTCAAAGGGGATAATGCTCCTTCAATATTATCCATCTCGGATAATCTTGGCAGGGAATTGTCACGCTAGACAATATTCCTATTGACACCGTTTGGCGTCAATATCATGTGAAGGGCTACCTCGTTACACCGTTACAAGTTCTGCCCTGGTAGGAAAGACATTGGGGAACACATTACGACATACCTAAGCGTGTAGTCTGCTGGCACAACTCACGTGAAATCGAAGTGGAAAGTGCAAGGGGCTATGGTGTGCCCACGGCTTTGCAACCGACAGGCACCAGGGCTATCCAGTATTTTAAGGAATTTCTTCCTTGTGACCGTCCGGCCGAACTGAAAGTATAAAAACGCACAGAAGTGACGACGGCGTACGCTGAGCAGAGTTCGCATCACACGCTTGTACGTACAACAGCATCAAGTAACATGAAGGAAACCACGGAATAAATATGCAGCAACCTCTGGCTTTAGCAACTACAAAAAAAGACGAATAGCTCGTCAGTTGTTATGCCGGAGCACACAACAGCTGCTACCGCGACGTGCAACCTTATTCGTGTCGCTGTTGTAGTGTCGTCTCGAGACCTGCAGTTTGAGACCGGACCGGCTTCAGACTCCACGAGGAACCGATTGCTCATCGAGCTTTCGTGACGACTTTGTTCAAACAGCTCGTACGTACGACTTGGTTTATAAGTGTATAGGCAGGCAGGTGGTAGGTATCTCTGTCACGTGTAGCACGTTCTTTCCAATTATGGGAGCTGAAGGAAGTTTGCTATACCCTGCAGCAAATCCCGATCAGTTGCAAAGGGCGTGGTACTCGCCACAGCTATTCCCGATCGGCTCTAGAGCATGTGCAACCTTGTACGAGTGAAGTACATGTTGTAAGGACGTGCTGACGGCAGCAGCTCAATTCACGATTCTCTTTCCAGAAGACGCGGCGCGAAGCCGGTATGGAGGCCGTCACCTTGTTGCTCGCTGCTCTACTCGCAGTAGTTGTGGTCCGAGCCCAAGATGCGAGGCGAGGCACAGTGGGCTTCCAGCCTGGTGTCGTGATGTCCAGGCCTACCCTTGATGCAGGCCCAACTCAAATATCGAGCTTGGTACTGTGGGCGCCGAAATGGGTCGGTCACGACACTTTGCAGCCGTTCCCTCAACCGAAGCCAGTGACACGGTTAGATGTCGTGGCTATCAAACTAAAACCCAAGCTTTTCATTGTTCACGGATGCCACCCGTACCCAGCAGTGAACGCAACGGGTCACACAAGTAATGGTCTCAAGACTTCGGGTTATGCTGATGGCCATTGCAAGGGATCTGGGCATGGGTCTCAAGTCTACGGGCGCGCAACTCGGTTCCGTAGCAAATGGGCTATTATGTACGCATGGTACTTTCCAAAAGATGCGCCGGATGAGGAGTCCGGCCAGCGACACGATTGGGAGCATGCCATCGTGTGGATCAACAACCCGAAAGTCAAACGCCCGGAGATTCAGGCGGTGTCAGTGTCTTGCGGAAAAAAGTTTGGGTACTTGAAAAAAGTTGCACCTGGGCCTGAAGTTTTCGATGGGACGCGATTGAAAATGAGCTATGGAGCGGACCACAAGCATGACCACCGACTCGGTTTAACAGCTGAGAAAGGGGAAGACCAGGACTTGATCATGTGGGAACAGCTCACGGATGAAGCTCGCTGTGCTTTCGATACTATCCTCTGGACCAATGTTATGATGCCTTTGAACGATGCATGGTACAAGCACGAGCTGAAAAGAGCTTGGCCTTTTGAACGATAGAAAGAGTCCCATCTGGGCGCAGCTAGCTAGTCGTTGCTGTATCCTACCAGCAGGCCACTTCACCTGACATCTGCGCTTGACGACAAGCGTTTAGGTCCATAGTTATCACTGCAATGACATGGACGATCGAGTCTTTCATGATGGTATGACTGGTTCCTTCTGCGATACACTCACTACTGATTGAACTGACTGTGGTCATCAGACGATGACTTCCTCTTGACCTGTTTTGGGTGCGTGGCTGGTATATTGTTGACCCGCGATGGATGGAGCGGTGAGGCACAGAGCAAGTAAGTGTGAGTTGATGCTGAAGCACGGACCAGGTCCACAAATAGAAAGAGTCACGCATTCAGGTATAGTAGACCCAGTCGACACTTGAGATTCTTTCGTCTGTAATTTTTCTTACAATTTCCGTGTGATTCGTGCACAATTAGCGTCAGGACTTCCTCACGCATGCAGAGCTTGACCATTCTTTGACGTACGACGTTGCATGATGTTGCCTTGCTAAAGCGAGCCTCACGTCTTTTGTTTAGGGTTCTCCTTTGATGATATCGGTCGTACATGTTGCCCAGGACATGCTGCCTTGCCTAATGCACTTCTAACAAATACTAAACGATCCATTAAGCCGAGGAAACAGCGGCACGATTCTTGCCGCTTCTTGTGCGTTGTCACTGAGCATTGAGGATATCATCGGTTGCTTGTAGCCCACTTTAGAGATCTCTTCATGCCGTTGCAGCAGTTGGAGATAACGCTGCAGTCTTGTTGACAACAATGTACTGCTCAAATGTTGCAAGCGAGCCAGACAAGCAAAAGGGTTTCGTGATGCTCTCACGCTTCGCGCAGAATGGTGCAACGCATCGCTCCTTGTGTTCTAACATACGTACCAGCATTAGCGGTTGGTTAGTAGCCAAGAGGCATCCAATTCGCCCGACACCACTTGTGGTACAACCCAATGATTGAAATGCCTCTAATTTGTTCGTTCGTCAAGCCTCATCTACCCTTCACGTATGATGCAGTTGCTGCGGTATACGTCTGCGCTTCAACAAATACGCAGTTGTCTCTTGTGCAGATACGCAGTACCACTGAAGCATCTGAACAATCAGTGAGCAATGAAGCTACAACGCGCCTGCAAGGGGTGTACTCAATCGATCGAAGTACAGCCCACCAATTCATCAGTACCATGCGGTACACGCGCATGAATCAATTCTGCTGCATCCACAACAAGCCAAGTAGTAATTAAACATCAGTGAGTGCTGAGCGCTTGGCCGTCAATCAGGCCACTTGGTCAACTCAAGCGTCGTGCTGAACAAAGACAAGCAAATGGCAATGCGACAAACGGTTCAAGGAAACGCATTTGTCCTCGGCACAAAAGAGACTCTAGACGTAGCGACTTTCGATAAACATTTGCTGGGTAGCAGTTGTGGTAACGCTTTCCAGCCTATCGAGCGTGCGAGCCTTGTCTGGTATACACACGCACTAAATCCCTGTCAAGTGATCCACCTCTACCTACAGGACCATGCGATTGCTTACACCTCAAACAGTTGACTCTTAACTTCCACATGTCGAGCTGCCAATCGACACCATGATCATAACCAGACAACTCGCAGCCGTCATCAAACCTCTCGCCTTCCAACAACCCCCGGATCGAAATCTCTTGGTAAATGCACAAAACGTCGGTGATTCACATTACGCCGATAAATTTCACGACTTCCGTAGGAAGAGTCAGACAATCGAGTCAGAGACAGAAGGTGCACGAGAAGCTCCGTAACGTCAGCAAGGAGCTGCCTTACCATTGCCTCGTCAACTTTATCGCGAGTCCGAGCCATACAACCACCTCCACGTAAGCGCCTTTCAAATGAACCGTTCAGCCTTGTCAGTTCTTCAAGCGCCAAACAGATGCAACCTTCCATCCAGATGGAGCCCCAGCCGCCAGCCAGCCAGCCAGCCCTTCCCCACTCGTCGACACCTCGACACCACGACAGTCGCAAGTAGAAAAAGGGTCTTGGTTCGCAAGTCAGTCCGGTCCTGTCGTCAGCTGGTGGGGAATAAAAAAACCGTTCAGTCTCATGACACGTAACGTGGGACTTGTTTCCAGCCGCGCTACAATAACGACGAGTTGAGCCCAGTTCAGGTCCGAGGTTGAACGTCACTCACTAATCAAGCATGGAGTCGGACGGGTCCATGACCGTGTTGCTACCAATGGTGTCCCTGATGCTCTTGCTCGTCTTTGCTGGTGGCTTGTGGTTCCTCCGCACCCGCAACCAACTGCGAGGTGCATCGCAGTCCTTCCTCGCCAGGTTTGTCATTAGTATCTACGACTTCTTGAAAGGGCTTTTGACATCAACTGTTGATCAACTAACGGAAGGCATCTCCGTCTGTGCTGGTGTTTAGGATGCTCTTACAGGAACAAGATACAATGACGAGACTCGATCTGGAACGGGGGGAAGCGCTGGCGGAGCGCTGGAAGTGCCTGGTGTGTGAGTTTAGTAACGCCGTGGATCGGCCTACTTGTTTGTTGTGTGGTACGAAGAACGTTAAGCCTCGTCGCACTTCGGACAGAGAAGATCTGCCCCGACTTAAGCTGTCTATCGCAGAGAGAGAAGAGCGAGTGAGCTCGGCTGGCTCGGTGACCATGTTGTCCAGGCCGTCTTTCTCAGCACCCAGGGCTTCAGTGCCTGGTGGAAGCAGCAGACGTTCGTTGAGACCGCTGCGGCTGTCGACGCTGAATTCTCGGCAGAAATATGCGCGACGACGGAAGGAGTGGGTGCGTTGTCTTGGCGAAAATGGCGAGTCGGCCTTTTGGACCCGAGCCGACGTTGCATTGGCTTCAAGAAGACTTACAATGGCTAATAGCACGACTACAAGCGTAAGAGGGAACCGACGAGTATCAGTGGGTTTTGTCACGCGGATGGTGCGTCGGTCTTCTATCATGGGAGATCTTGGCCGTCTCACGTTCGCTGAAGCTTCGCAACTGGATGCTGCCGAGACCATTAGCGGGTACAAACTTACGGCGCGCGAGCTCGAGTTGCTGGATCGTGTCTCGAGACTGCCATTTCCGAAGAAATACACGTGGTTTCTTGAGCGCATGGGAGCGCTGTTGAGACCGTGGGAGGAAGGACGCATCAAGTTGCGAGTGCAAAGAGAACACATTCTGGTGGAAAGCATGGAGCAGTTACTGGGCATTCAACCCGAGCACATTCACTTTCCACTTCGAATTGAGTTCGTAGGTGAAGCAGGAATTGATGCTGGAGGGTTGCAACGGGAGTGGTTCTCCATATTATTTGGTCGATTGCTGGACGATGAACTCGGGCTCTTTATGACGTGTCATCGACACACACAGGCCGTGGCGATTAACCCGCAGTCAGAAGACTGCACGGCTGATCATTTGCTGTATTTTCGAGGCATCGGGCGGCTGCTTGGCCGTGCGCTACTCGAAGGACAAACTATGCAGGCAAAACTGTGTCTGCCTATTCTTAAGCACTTCCTCGGCACGCCAATTACGTTTTCGGATCTGCAGTACGTTGACCCTGACGTGTATACGAGCATGGTCTGGATCCGTGATAATGACGGCGTCGACGCCCTAGAGCTCACGTTCAGTGTGACTGAGTTACGAGCAGATGATGAAGTTGTGACGGTGGATTTAGTGCCAGGTGGGCACAACTTGGATGTGACGGATGCGAACAAGACCGAGTTCTTGCACCTTAAGCTGCGGTATCTCATGTTAGATCGATATGCGCCACAGTTGCAGGCGCTGTCTCTTGGTTTGTTTGAGGTGATTCCACAGGAGGCTTTACTGGCATTTGACTACCAGGAGCTGGAGCTTGTGCTATGTGGACTGCCCGACATTAACATGGCTGATTGGAAGCGCAATACCGTTGTCGCTCCTAGCTTCAGTGACGCTCCGATGGTCGTCAATTGGTTCTGGGAAGTGATCGAGGACTTTACTGACGACGAGCGAGCACGATTTTTGCAGTTTTCAACCGGCTCGTCCCGCGTGCCAGTGCAGGGATTCAAGGGTCTCACGAGCTACGATGGTCGAATCTGTTTGTTTTCACTGCGACCGCTGCCAGGACAGACACGAGGTTTTCCTAAGGTGCACACGTGTTTCAACCGGGTAGAGCTGCCGCTGTATGAAAGTCGAGTCGACATGGAGACCGCATTATATGCTGTGCTGGATATGGAGTGGACAGAGTTTAGCGAAGAATGAAGCAGTTGTGTGCGAATAGCAGGTTGGATGAGGATCGAAGTGCACTATTTAATGCGATCATCACGTAGTTGCTGACTTGACTTGACTCGACTTGACTTGAGTTTCATCTGGTCATGCTCGTATCGCTGCCCTATGCTTACCTGGTTGTCCTCAAGCTTACCACTGGATCATCCACATGACTGACAGGATGAAGCAAATGTATTTACCACGGAACAACCAAAAGAACGCTGCAGCTTCGAATTTACCATTCAAATGGTGGAGTGATTTGTCGCTAGAGTTATCTCTGTGGACGATATGCACGTCCTATCCAATATTGCAGTGTAATCGAGAATAGTGATGCGACACCGTTGCCAGAGCTGAGCTCGTTAGTCGGTGCAAATGCAGTAGAACAGCCTTCTGCTTTGTTTACTGTGCCGTGAGCTGGCTTGACGCGCACAGATAAATAATGTGTAACTTGTTGCTGCGTTGGCCACGCTACTCGTCGAAGTCGTCAGCCCAAATCGGGTGATACCCACACCGGGCTTGAATGCTATGGACGTCGTAAGAACCTTCTTTCTGAGCATGGTCACGCCGTTTATGTTGTCGATTGAATCCAGGCTGTCCTTTGTCGATGAGCTCTTCCAGCCAAATAGTTCATCAGGATGTGTCGTCGATGTGCATTACACACGTGATAGGCGGTTTTTTCATACATGCTTCTTCTCCGCTATGCTCCGCAAACCTAAGACATCTTCATGTAAGGAAGAAAGGAACTTGCTGATCGATGTTCCAGCACCAAGGCAATAGCAAGAAAAGGGTATGCATGCGTGAAGCAAGCGTGTGCTGATGCAACGCAAGCCACGCATGTCATTGAGAGCACAAATGGGCATTTTTCCGTTAGCTAGCGAACATCCAGAATCCTCGAGATAGTTCGGAATGGATAGGGCGACCGCTGCATAGTTGAGACGCTTCGCCCGAGCTACAAAGAAGCGTGTGGTTGGTAACTTGTATGCGATAGCTAACCGATGCCCTTACAAGGAGAGATTTTGTCGTTCGTGCATGAATGGCGAAGACACCATTTTAATCAAGGTCGTATAGTAGACGTGCAAACCAAGTGTACGCGTGTAAAGGTGTTGCGAAATAAAACCAAATGGCAAGTACCGAGTTTTGTAGGAGCCGTGAGTGGCAATCAATCGCTAATGTCTTCCGTCTGTCGTGGATTGCTGCGATACGAAGAGTCGAACGAGGACGAGGAGACTTGTCACGCAACCAGATGGCGAAAGTATTGGTCTAATCAGCGATACATGTTACACATCTCAATCCGTGATCGGGACTGACTTCCACTGCGTGAACTGAACACTGTCCACTTTCGATTCAGCACCTTAGCGCTCGGTCCGGTCACTTTATCGCAGGAGCGTGTGGTGCCGACATTCATGATGGGAAGCACTCGTCTCCTTCTTTTTTGGAGTGTCTTCTTCCTGACGAGCACTTTCGACTTGGTTCTGGCCGCGGGGAACTTGAAAGGGGTTCAGCATTTCCAGGATGATGGCCACACAATCCGTCAGCTGGAAACCGTTTTCATGGAGGACGGGAATGAACCGACAACGGGAAATGAGGAGGAAAGACACATTCGGGACTTTGGTCCCAGGGTCAATTCATTTGTGATGTCGCACGCACACTTACCCCACAAAGACGAACCGAGTACCCTTCGGACGGCTGACGATGCATCGCAGCATGTGAAAGTGAGCGACGACAATCTGGGAAAGGCAAAGACAGCGGGGATCGTGGCTAAGGAAGAGCCGATTGGACACTACGAACAGTATTATGACTATGATCGTAGGCTTGAGGTAATCGGGTTAGCTGTCGCTGTGTTTGGCATGTTGATGGCTGTGGTCACAGCGGCAATTTCGAGCCGCCACCCGAAGTGATCCCATACGAGTCCGCTCCAAAGAACAACTCGTGCTCACGTTCTTGCTGCACTTGTACTCTGGAGCTCGTATCGAGCGAGACCTACGACATTCGACCAGCCCGCTGCGTTTATGGACTTCACTTTCGGTGGACTTCGTCGTTGTGCGCTTCCTCGTTGAAGCATATGTTGAGGCACTTTGACTTCCACCGAACCTGCATAGAGGAGACACGATGTAACACAAACAATAGAAAACTGCGTCTTGTGACAGCAAAGCTCCCTTCATCTCAGATCTATTCGTGGTCGTAATGACGCAGGCGACGTCTATTTTCTAGACACCCTACTGTTTGCGAAGTCTCTTTGGTCTCGATGCTTGTTCAGGGTGATACACAGGATCCTGTCGAGTTTGGAATCTAAAGTGTTTATGGAGTTCTGCATACTGCAGGCAGCACAGCACAGCACTGGCCTAAGACCGTGGACTATGGCTCCATGGCTACAACTCTGTCAATTGCTTGACGTTTTACAAAGTAAATGATGAGCCACGATTCTCGGGCACACGATGTGCTGTCGAGTTGCCACGTCATCGAAGGCTTGACATTTATTGAGCTGGGACTTTTCATTTACACCACACAAAGGAAGGAACTGCTCCGCTCGATTAAATTTATAGCAGCAGCAATGGCTACAGACAGCACGAATTGACCAACAGAATGAATCACAAGGCTCACAACCAAAACCTACAATCTGACAACTGCGAAGAAGTTGACTCCCAGACCAAGACGTCCGCAGCGAGGTCCGAAAGCTAATGCATCATCTGCGTTTTAATCCTTCAAAATAAGTAAATAGCGCTAAATCGTTGAGGCACTTTGTTTCGATTCGAGTGTGTGCAAGTCGTTGAAAAGAGATGTACGAAGTGATAGTAACGGAGCTCTTCGAACCTGCAGCACAACTTTAAACTAGTTCCAGCATCTTCACAGACTCGTCACAACTCACTTCGCACAGAGAAAATGATTGATCAAGCTGTTTAACTTGTCGACAGAAGTGATCGTGACTACGCAAAAATCTCGATCGCTGACATTTTGGAAGTCATGACAGCTTGCAGACGTTCATCTCTTCTGCAGCACGGGGATAATATTGGGCAAGTCCCGTTGGAGCTGCGATAGCAGCTATTGTTACCAAAGCCTGCCGCGTCTTTGAGCGATAAAAGTAGATTGTACAGCTGATACATCGCGTGTTGTACCAGCACAATATCCTCGTACCATGCCAATGGTAAGGTGACAGCATTGTAGCCACCTGCTTCTAAATCATGATCTATCGGTGTAAACAGCGACGAGTTCAACCGGTTAAGCATCTCCAATTGTCTTTGTCCACCACTGAATACGTGCTCTTCACAATGTCACGGCAAGATGTGACCTCTATTTCCTGCGGTGTACATGTGATGGATCAAGTCGCTATGTGTGCACAGCATTCGATTCATACGAACCACTGACCTCCCTCAAGCCGAGGAGATGCCACATTTCGTTGACTAGACGACTGATCGCGGTCAGTATCTAAATCTACGTCGACATCCGCCTATACACCAGCACATTCCATTTGCCCAAGTTAGATTGCGATCTCAAGCGGAGTGAGCACATATCATGGTGGCACCCGCTCAAACGTAGGTAAACATCCGTCTGCACGTACGGTTCTTAAAGTGTCCCAAGAAGGGCTCTGTAAAGTAGCCTGATGAGAGCCTTGCAAAGCGCCGGGACTTGAGATCTCCGATGTGGAATTCCAAGCATGATCCTGGCACGACTTGACGATGTCTGCAGCGACTAAACCTGCCAACTCCTGCAGCTCTCTTTTTGATTCTTCAATGGTCAATTGCAGAGCACGCAAGTCCTTTCGTTTCACAGCCCGATCAGATGATTGTAACAACCCACTTGCAGGATGACCAGCACACATGGAATTCCGCGCACGTTGATATCGACGCACAGCGGCAACAAAAAGAAGCAAATAGCGCTCGATATCCCGCATCAGCACCAGACTGTCGAGTCCTGTCGACACAAAAGCAGGGATACCAATCCGTCCAACCGGATCAATCCGATCCGGAATCGTCCGTTGCTCTCCATCAACAATGATTGACTCGATCATACTCGACAAGTCCTCTTGCGAAGCGCGTATGCTGTGCATCAGTGCGTCAATCTCCTGCACCAGTTCTGTTGCCTCAACAACGTGCGGACCGACACTATGCATCGGTTGTGCGCTATTCCTTCTACTTGCACTCGCCCTCTCGCGAGTTCGCTGTCTGCGATCGACTGCAGCCGTCGACCGCAGCAAATGCACGTCAACATCTTGCAGCAACTGAGCCCGCCATCCTCGAGCCTTCAGTGACTTTTCATACTCCATCCACTCTGGATCTTGACTAGATGAACCAGCAGAACTAGCAGCAACAGAAGTAGCAGCAGCAGCAGCAGCATCATCTTTTGACGTCCCTTGACACTTGACTCTTGTCCCTACTGGATCCAGCTCCTGCTCGTCCAACGGCTCGACTGCTGCTACTTCAGCTACTTCAGCTGTCAGCTTCGTCCGTTCTTCCATTGCCTGCTCCAGTCCAATTGCCACGTCCTTCCTGTCCACCAATGTAGCCATTGTCTCATTAGTGGTAGCCACTGTCCTCCTGGCCGTCGAGAGTTTCTTGCGGCGCTTCCACTTGCGTTGATCCGTTCGTTGCTGCGACATGTCGCACGGCTTTGTCACCAATAAACGGTCGTCGACAGCAGACGGTGCAGCCGTCCTCAGCGGTGCTTCGTCCGGGAGTAAAAACCCGAGTCCCCCCTCTCGAAGAATAAACGCGTACAACTCGCCTTCCCCGACCAAAAAGTCGCGATGTTGGCGAGTGGCATAATTGCCAAATTCGACTTTTTGCAAAACCCCTGGTAAGTAATACAAATTTTGTTGTTGCAAGCCGTGCGGCTCGACAATGTCCCAGCCACGGGCTCGAATGATTTTGACCACCTCTTTGCCGCTAATGCCGATCTGAGCGAGCAACTCGCGCGGCAATCGCGTCTCGTGAGACATGGCGACATGACCGTGCTGGCTGTTGCGTCGCATCGCGAGCGACTTGGCAGCAGGCGCGGACGCGAGAGACGTCATGTAGTCTCTAGTGTAGGTTTGAGCCGTCCAGCAGGTTAGCCATTCGTTTGGTTTTTGATTGGTTAAGATTTGGAAAGCACAAATGTTACGCTACGAGATGACGAAGAATGAAAGTTAAGGTAGTGAATATTAGTGACACTTTGTAATATTGACAAGGGTTTTTGACAGTTTCAGGCCGTGGCTGTCGAATGTTGTCGCGAGGGTGTCAGTTTGCAGCATTTCGGCAGCGGATATTGCCGACAGCTCGTGGTGATGGTTTGTATCGCTCGAGCGTGCGTTATAAACGCTCGAGTGCAAAAAGTGCGCGCGCAGGTGCTACTGCTGCTGGGTCCGGTACGTTTTTGACATGTCGAACGCATTGTTAATGTTGTATTGTAATAATTGCAGAAAATGGTCATCATTAATTATTGACTTGTATTGTTATTTTTTATTGTCGATTTTTTGTATCATCGTAATTGTTGCTGTTGTTATGTGTACATGTCGTATACGCAGACCGACACATGGCGTTGACGATGGCCATTCGCCAGATTGAAAGCAGTTTTGGTAAAGGTGCAGTGATGCAATTGGGATCGACGTACGTGGTGGAAGATCTGCGATAAAGTAACACTTAAGTGGTACATTAGTCGCTGATCTTTCTTCGTCACTGCTGCTGCTGCTGTTTTGCTGCAGGAAAATTGCTGAGCGCGTTGAAGTGATTTCGTCTGGCTCGTTATCGCTCGACGTGGCTCTGGGCATTGGTGGTATACCGAGAGGGTACGTCAAATAGATCGATATGGTTTACGTGCTAGTACATGGAGTGTAACATCTGACCTTGAATGTTGTGGCTACTAGACGAGTGGTGGAGATTTATGGTCCCGAGAGCTCGGGCAAAACGACATTAGCACTGAGCTGTATCGCTCAAGCTCAGAAGACAGAGGGTGGCGTGTGTGCCTTTATTGACGCGGAGCACGCGATTGACGCTCACTACGCCAAGGCGTTGGGTGTCGACATCGATGCTCTTTATGTCTCGCAGCCTGACTCTGGAGAAGAAGCGCTGGAGATCGCTGACACACTGATCAGGTCGGGAGCAGTCGACCTTGTCGTGCTAGACAGTGTAGCTGCGCTCGTGCCCCGAGCAGAGCTGGAAGGGGAAATGGGAGACCAACAAATTGCTCTGCAAGCACGACTAATGAGTCAAGCTCTGCGCAAGCTGACTGGGTCACTATCGAAGTCCAATTGCACCATCATTTTTCTGAACCAAATTCGGCAAAAGGTGGGTGTCATCTTTGGATCTCCTGAGGTAACGTCGGGTGGCACGGCGTTGCGCTACTATGCTTCCGTGCGGCTGGACATCCGCCGGAAGACGGCCATCAAAGAGGGCGATCAGGTCGTCGGTAATGAGACGGTGGTCAAGGTGGCTAAAAACAAACTTGCGTCGCCTTTCAAGATCGCGAACTTTGACATGGTGTTTGGACACGGTATTGACCGCCAGTCAGAGCTGGTAAGGCAATTGTGGGGTTGTTGTTCGATGTGAAAGGACTGATCCAATATTGTTTGCTCAGCTCGAGTTGGGCGTTCAGCATGGCTTGTTAAAGCGGTCAGGCGCGTGGTATAGTGTCGCTGGGAGCGACGGTGAGACTTGTGGTTCTATCTAACCACTTCTTTTTGCACTTCGGCTGATTTTGTCTGGTGCACATGTTGCAGAACCTATTGCCCAGGGTAAGGCAAAAGCCAAGGCATATCTGCAGGACAATCCCGAGATCGCGAAGGACCTGGAAGCGAAGTTGCGTCAGATGCTTTTTGAGTCGAGCAGGGTGGAGGAGGAGGTTGCCGAGGTTACTGTTATAGCGGACCTTAACTTGGTTGATGAGGGCGAGGACGAGGACGAGACTATCGCTTCCAGAACCGAGGAAGGTCGTAATGGCGACAGTGATAGTAGTGCTGACGACGAAAAAAACATGTAAGAATGTGTCAGATATCCACATCATTAGCCACTACGGCTTGATATTTTGCAAAGCTAGAAACACCCAGTGTCCTTAAATTGCTTGCTCGTGTATTTCTGCCTTCTTTACGTCACCCATTCCCTGGCCGAAAGTCAGAAGGGCACGTAAAGCTCCCTGACGTGCGTGGTGTCGAATGCCAACAGCGTAGAATATCCACTTGCCTGCAACCTACAGACTCAATCTCTAAATATGTAGCCCACAAATACAGACTAGACTGCCTAGAATGCCATGTTAAACGATGTCGGCGGGAGGACACTTGCGACTTGGCACCGCTCAGCCTTCGAATAGCGTTTTTTAATCACCGCTAGATTGTTCGACGGTGAGTTAGAGTACAGCGTCTGAAGCTCGCCCATGCACTCCTTCAGACTCGACCAGTTGTATTGGCACGCATCCACCAGCTCCTTGGTCTAAGCCAACAAAATCAAAGCACGTTTAGTGTAAATCAAGCAAGGCACGCCACGTAGACAAACTCACCATCGGAAACCCATCCACTGTGTACATTGCCATCGAGAGGCAGCATGCAGCAACCACGGATGGCAAGTACTTCAAGAACTGGTACTCTTGTAACGCCAGCTCAAGCAAGTAGTGCGCCAGCATTGATGTCTTCTTCTGTATAGGCGGGATCATGCGCTCGTATATGTTCAGAAAGTCCAAAGCTGAGCACAAGAAACAAGCAGTGAGACCAGTGTCACTTGTCACAACGCATTGTATTACACTTACCAGTGGGCACCGAAAGCGTAAAGTTGAGCGTATTCAACAGTTTCTCTTCCATTTCCAACACTTCGACGGATGTGTATACGTTATCGGCACACATGGCAAGATCTTCTACACCGATATACGACACATCCTCGCACTTGGAAGCAACATGCAAACACGTCGCTCCAAGTAACTGAAACTGCGTCTTTTTCACCATTACGATATCCAAGTACCGGTCGGTGTAATTGACTGCCAGGAACGCCGTTCTCAGGCACATCTCAAACACGTCCACCACTAATGCAGCACACACACACAACAAACAAGGCATATTGAGTCGCTTTGCTTCGGCCACGCGTATGATGACGCATTCATCGTGCACCTTCAATCAGCCAATCGACAAGCATCGACCGGTGTGCAGGTCGAAGGGTCTTCTGCCGACTACACATCATCACGACAACGATATGGAAACGAAGTTAGCACTAGCGCATTCAAACAGCTAACACCCAGCCTCATACCTCAAATACTTGATTTCTTTCCACGACTCTAGCTCTGTCTGACGCAAGTACGCATGGAACAAATCAACATGCTCTGGTGTAGGGCCAATCCGAGCTCGGCTCATTGTGTAGCACATCTGGTCCATTGGAATCTTTGGTGTGAGTGGTAGAAACACACGAGCCTCGTTTGAGAAATAAGGGTGCCGAAGCGCGTCTTCGGCCGTAATTCGTTGGTCGGGATTGTACACGAGAAGCTTCGTCAGCAGGTCGATACCAAGATCCGAAATTCGGGGAAATAGACGATTTAAGGGTCGACGTTTCCAATGTGGGAACTCAAAATGATAATTCGGCAAGGATGAAAAGCCGGGCCACGTCTCAGACGTCGGTGTTGACAGCTTGCTGAAAATTTGAAACAGCTGGTCAATCTCCGATATGCCTGTGAACAGCGGTTTCCCTTGGGCCATCTCAGCAAAGATGCAGCCCACAGACCATATGTCGACAGCCGACGAATACCCGCGCACTCCCATTAGTATCTCAGGAGGACGATACCACAATGTGACCACCTCCATCGTATACGTTCGCCGAGGAATCCCCGTCGCCCGGACCAGTGCAAAATCGGAAATCTGGAGCGTAGCGTCGCCTACAAGTGGATAATACAATACTCTTACATTAGCGCAAGAATAAACAGGTGACTAATCGCAATAACTTACTCAATGTTTCAGTATCCAATGCCTTAATTAGCAAATGCTTTGGTTTCAGATTACGGTGCAACACTCCGCGACGATGACAGTACGCGATTGCATCCAGAAGTTGGTGAAGGAGCTTGCGAATCTATTGCAAACATCAACAAGTGTGAGGAAATCCGCACTTGATAAATACAGACACCAGCGTTGCCATACATACCACGGTCTCCGACAGCACACGGCCACCGGAAGGGTCACCCGTCGGATTTATAACTTCGTGCAGCGTCTTGTCCACGTAAGGGAAAAACACATGGAGTTCATCTTTGGCGAGGCTAATCAGCTCGAGAGACGCGATATGATCGTGCTTGATTCCCTTTAGGACAGCTAGCTCTCTGAGCATATAGTATGGTACCCCTTCTCCCTGATTTCGTCCGAGCAATCACGACAGAACAAGTTGACGTCAGTGCACGTCATCAAGCAACACCTCATATATTCCGAGCTGAAAGCTACCTTAGGAAAGACTCTGGCTTTTTTCATCGCCAAGATTTTTCCAGTCGAGCGCTGACAGCATTTAATACAAGTGCCCTCGGTCCCCTTATTCTTGATCCCCAAGTTCTTGAAATTGATCCAGTTCACAGAACCTTCCACTGTCACACTCGGCAGCGACCGATACAGCGACCGTCGACTAGTCAGCTCCTTCCACTTTTTCGACACCTGCGACATGTTTCGCAAGTCTTTCGCGTTGACCAAGAAGGCAAACACGTGCAAGATAATGTCGGTCGGCTGCAAGTCAAAGTGCTCTGACGGCGTCAGCACCGCTTCAACCTCGTCTATCTTGACTTGAGGCAGTCGACTGCCATCCCAATCCTCTTCGTCATACGCAGCAGGCGAGGCAATCAAAATCTCCCGACGCACGACTTTACTCGCGCGGTGCTCCACCGCGCGCTCCGACGGATCAATCGAGAATCCCTCCTCGCCGACTTCTTGATTATGAATGTGTTCTCTCGCGTACGCCACATAATCCGACAACACAACGTCTTGCTTCATGTCGCTACGTTTTCGCTTCCCACCTGCCCATACAAAACGCCACCGACCAACGAAAAACCCACACCAAAATAAAAACCACCGTCAGCACTTCATCCCAACTTTCTCGCATATCCAAAAAACCCACCAAAACCAACATCCGTACTTAACGGGACAATCAGCCCATCTGAAGTAACGCTAGGCGTTGCCTCATTCACCGACACCGCACGCGGCTCCTGCACTTCTCGTTCCTCACAAAGTCGTGGCACAACCTCCTTCTCCTCCTTGTCCGTCGCCTGCCCTTTCTCTTCGTCTTCACATGTCACAGATTTCGACAGACGGGACGCTTCAGCTGCCATAGCCACTGCGTGAGAGCGTGGCGTCCCTCCCAGAACCGCCAGCAGCGGATTCTCAAATGAAGTTGAGTGCACGAAACCGGCTCTTTTTCCGCGAGCGAGCTCCGTGGTTGCTGCGTCTGAAGTAACGCCAAGTGGTTCCGGAAAACAACCAAGTCCCGTGCTGCTACTTCTGCTACAAGTGGTGGTGGTCGTGGCTCGACGTTTCTTCAGTGGCGTCGAGTCCGACGTGTGGTTGGGAGCAGACGAAGCCTCCATTAGCTCCGCTGTCAAAGATCCGGGTGTGGTCTATATATAGATATCAAGAGAGAAAAGAGCGAGGTTTTTTGTTAAGTCAGTACCTTTTCAAAGTATGACACAAGAGAGGGAAAGCGACCTTGTTCGAGGGCGTCAACACCACTGGAAAGAGAGAGAGCGAGAGAGAGAGACGGCGTAGCTAATGTAGTGGGCACCCTCTACGGCAGGAAGTGGAGACGGATCGAGCGCGTGCGAGATCTTTGCGTCGTCGCCTCCTCTTCTTTCGCGTCTACTTTCGGTCTGAGCGTCGGAATATTCCTTCTGCCGTTCTCTGTCTTTCTTCCTCGGAGGTTTTCTTCCTTCTTTCGTTCTGTGGGACATTCACTCTGGTGGTTTCACGACCACCTCATTGGTTGAGCGACACGGAACTGCGCAGCGATTGGCTCGTGCGAGAAAACGCACTAGATGTGTATACATGTATTGTTGCTGTCGCGTTGTAGGAGAGAACAGATGGTAAACACAAACGACCGCTGCGGTGGTGCGCTGATCACTGGCTGACTACCGCGAATGACTACCACCTAGCTCGAGCCGAAAACACGAGATGGCTTGAGGTGCTTGTACTCGTTTCTTGTTAGTGGTATTTTTATAGTTGCTTCATCTTTTTTTTTATAGGATGGCACCGGGTATTTGGAGGAGATCAGTCTCAGTCTCGATCCCGCACAATGGTTCGTTTGGAGCAGTGATGTAAGCTGTATTCACGCTGCCTAGCCTGCTTCTTCACGTTAGATTGACATAATCTCTAAATTGTAGATAGAGCTACCGAAAGCGCTCGACAAAGGGTTGTCGTAGGCTACGTTTCCTTGATGACTAATGACATGATCAGCGATGAAAAACGTACGCGTGACCATTACTGAAGGAGCTGGGGGAGTGCTTAGTTTTGTAACGGTGACGACTGTACATTTGCTCGGGCGAATATTTGGCTTAAATGAGTAATAATAGCAATTACGTGTAACGGGGCACCCTTAGCTTGGGTACCACGAAACTTTACGTACACTCGTACGTGCAGAGAAGGTAAATCAACATGAACTACTACTCGAAGTAAAGGTAAAACGAGAACTGTGATTAATACAGTCAAGCTATGAATCTAACTTCAGTCTTTATCTAACTATATTAATCTACATTGACGTATGGCAATAACCTGTCCACCACCCATTGCGCGCGTCTAGCAGCGACTGGTAGTATTCTCGGTTGACATGTCTTAATCAACCAATCTTTGAGCAGCACATGAATATTATCCTAAAAGGGGATAATATTCCTACAATATTATGAATCTCGGGTATTGATAGGGAATTGTCACGCTAGACAATCTCCCTATTAACACCGTTTGATGTCAATAACTTGTAACGGGCTACGCCGTTACAAGGAGGATCTATCTACCTAATTCCAGCAAGGAACTATTCGTGCTAAGTAAGAATTCTTCACCGATGCATTTTAAACACAGGTGGTACAATGGCAGCCGTGTTCGAGACGGAAAGGCCTTGGTGCAGGGATGGAATGCCCTCATTCATAACATTGAGTGCATTGACCGTGAGGTCTGGCTTGGTAAACTTGATGCAGCTCGCATCAGGTTTAATAATTTCAACCCAGCCGGTGTACGAAACAAGTTGCACTGACTGTCAAGAGAGGTAGGGTAACCCTGTCTCTCGTGAGGCGATCAAGATCCAGGGTTCCTGGCAATGCTAATCGTGCCCCTAGGGAGGCCTACCTCCCTAATTTGACCTACTGGAGAGCGCGAATCTCTTCTGAGATGGCCGAAGGAATTGACACTTTGCAATCCCTAAAATTGCGTTCGAGTGAGGTCCTTTTTCAACGGCCCTACCTTAAAGGCAGCGGATTGGCCTCGTCATATCGATCGACAAGACCCAGAAAATTAGCAATCAGCTGGGCGCCAGGCACCCAGCTGTCCCAGACCGGTGGATAGCCACGCCAGCGGACGAGGTAACCCGTCCGGACGCCATTCACTTCGCGGTGGGTCACGATAATCTCCACCATAAAGCGTTGACCACCGCCAGAATCTACCAAAGAATGTGGTTTTGGCGGGAACACTTGATCTGGCTCGAGGGTCGGATCAGCTTGATGTTCAGGAACTGAACCGTGTAACGGAACAGTTACACGATGACTTGGCTCATGAACGGACTCGGCGTTACGAGCTCCATGATCTTGTAAAGAATTTTAAAATTCATCAACGCACGATCGTTCGAACGGTCGTGCCGCATTTGCGTTTGCGCAACTTGAAGACGAACGTTCTATTTGTTCTCTTCGTGACGAGCTGACTGCAGCCCATCAGGACCTCGCTCAACTGCGTGAGCAGGTCGCTTCGCTAGTCGACCAGACTGGCTCGTTGAAACGGGACCACTCGAAGGTGGTATTGGCCCTTGACCGCGGAGGTGTTCTTGGCTTTTCGAAACGGGATCGTGCTGATAGGACGGGCGGTAAAACATAGGATGCGTACGCATCCTACGAGGCAGTTCAATCGTGTATGCATTGCCCATTCGGCGCAACACACGAAATGGACCGATGTACTTGCGCAGTAATTTACTGCTGCTCACGTTTGTCACCGCGTGTCTCGGTAAGTTTACTGTAGACAGTAAAACTAGGTCTCCTTCATCAAATGAAAGACATTTGCTCTTCCTTGTTCGTCTGCATTTTTTTTCTGTTTATCTAGTGCATCTGCAATCGAGTCTTAAACGAAGCGGACAATTGCTTCGCGAGTCAGCAGAAATTCCTCTGCTGATTCGTCGTTGTCAACAGCAGTGCACTTCGTGTGCACTGCCGAAAGAAAGTTGTCTTCTCCAGTGAGGGTGTCATCGTCCTCTATGTGGCGGTCATTGGCGATGCTGAATATGCCAGCATCGTCGTCATCGTTATCATCGACATTGATCTCATCGACATCGGCATCCATCACGTTAACACAATTGTCGACGGGTGATGAGCAAGAACCAGATCGGTTTTTGTTCGAGCGAGTCCACCCCCCCCCTTTAAGCTAGATTCACACTCTAAGAAGGCGGGTAAGCGTGTATGGCGTAGGCCACTCACGAAGAACGGTGTATGCGTTGTAGACGCGTGCATCGAGTTGTTGATGGCAAATTCCGCCATCGGCAAGAACTCACTCCAACTCGTAAACTAGTGGACGTACTCTCGAAGTATCTCTTCGAGGACGCAGTTGACGCGTCCCGTCTGGCCATCTATTTCTGTATGGTCAGAAGGTGACATGTTCAAACGCATTCCAAGTAGGCGGAACACGGATTGGAAGAAGTCCGACGTGAAGCGGGGGTCCCTATCAGACACGAGTTCACGAGGTAACCCGTGAAGTTGGAAGATAGTAACGATAAAGACACGAGCACAGCTCTGGGCTGTGATTGGCTCTGGTACAGCAATAAAATGTACCATCTTGCTGAGCCGATTAACGAATAAAGAATACCGGTATTTTTGTGAGCATCTGTGGGAAATTCCAAGAAGAAGTCCATCGATACGGACTGCCAACACTCTGCCAGAATATGTAGAGGCTGCAAGGGTGCACGGGACGAAGGACTAGGCTTCACCCGCTGGCAAACTTCGCAAGCGCGAATGTACTTCCGCACAAACTCATATTGGCGGGGCAGTAGAAGTCATGACTTACCGTGAGGTTAGTCTTTTCTCTACCGCGATGCCCACTTGTTGGGGCATCGTGACACTCATACATGATGCGCAATCTCAATTCATCATATGTGGGGACAGCAACACGAGGTGTGTCGCCGTTGACTGCTGTATATTACATCAGTCCATCACGAACCGAATAACGTTCGGTTGGCGAGCGGTAATAAGACGAAAAGCTTATCAAGGCTTGACGGGAATGATCAGAAACGCAATCCATCAATCGAAGATGATACTCTTCTTCTGCGCATGCTTTCCGCACTTCGTCGAGCATTGCATTTGACGACGGAACACTCGCTGATAGTGTTGCGACAGTGGGATCATCCCTACTGTTGGGTTGAGCAGTCGTCTCAAACTCGGGCCGACGCGAAAGAGCATAAGCGACGACTTAAGTCGTCCTGGTTTAAACTAGGCGGAGAAGTTGTACTCCGCGAAGAAAGACAGCCACCTCGCTATTCGTTGCGAGAGGTTTGGACTGTTTACGGCCGTGCGTAACGACGCATGGTCGGTATAGACGATGAAGGGCCTAGTTCCTTAGAGATTTACCCGAAACTTAGTCAGTGCATATTTTATGGCAAGGAGTTTCTTTCATGCACTGGGTAATTACTCTCAGCTGCTTGCAGCTGACGCTATTGATAACAGACGACGCGCTCAACGCCGTCTGAGTCGTACTGCATTAACGCGCAGCTGATTGCAAAATCGCTGGTGTCACAGACCACATGGAATGGTCTATCCTGGCCTGCAATCGCCAACACAGGCGATTGTATCAAGATTTTCTTGATACCCTTAAAGGAGTTCTGACACTCAGCACTCCATGACCACCTCTCGTTTTTCTTCAGCAGACGAGAGAGATGTACGGTCATCTCGGCGTAGTTTAGCGAGTACTTGTGCAACTATGCCGCCAAGCCAAGGAACTTTCGAAGTCTCTTGACGTTTGACTGGCACGGGCCGGTCGCTAATCACCTTGATCGTTTCCGGATCAGGGCGTACACCGGTTTTACCCACGATGCAGCCAAGAGGTGGTTTTTCGCTCGCTGCAAATCTACACTTCTTGAGGTTTGCGAACAACTTATGCTCTCGCTTTAGAGTAAGAACCTTCCGGACGTGTATTCTTTGAACCTCCACGTCCGTGTTTCCATCCATAGCCCGGCTATGGACGAAGACATCTGCGAAGTAATTTGGTGCAAAATCTCACACCGACCGCAACAGATTCGTAACACATCTGTTGAACGTTGCCGGCGCGTTAATTAGCCCCTGTGGCATCACTAGCCACTCACAGAGCATACCACTGGGGGTGCTCACTGCTGTGTGCGGAATGTCCCGTGCACGCATGAGGATCTGAAAGAATCCATCCATCATATCCATGGACGAAATGATGGTACTTTTTTTCATACCATCAACGATGACGTCCTTCCTCGGCATCGGCGTTTGAGCCGGTCCGTTGCAGCATTCAATTTGTTGAACGCGTGCACTACCCGCCACCCTCCTGTGGCCTTTCGCACACAGAAGGTCGGAGAGCTCTGTGGGGATGTTGATTACCTCACATGACCAGCCGCTAAACGATTGGCAAAGAATTTGTCCATCGCTGTGATCTGTTCACGGGGAAGCGGCCACTGCTTCATGACACAGTAGTTTGAACCGGGTTTCAGTTCGATCTCATGCCGAGTGACTTTGTCCTTGGGTAGCTCGCATGCCACGGATTCAGGGAAAACATCCCTAAATTCAACCAAATCCTTATAAAAAGGATTTGTTTTCAAAGACTCCTAAGATTGGGAAGCTTGTCGCTTTATTCGGGTCTTCTCATCGAGGACACTCTCGTCCATAGATCAGCTACTGAGAACCCGTTAGTTCTCAGCAAACACTTGTGCCGACCGAATATCGGCAATGTACTCGTCCTCTGTGACGAGTACGCAGATCTGCTTGATCTTTTCACTACGCAGATCTCGCAAGAATCTTTTACGTTTTAGCGTTGGCAACTTTGTTACCTCCGAAGCTGACTTTGTAGGTATAGCCAGATCAAGTGTATAAGCGCCTACACTTGATCCGTCATTCACCAAGACATTCACTGTCTCGGTGATTTCCCGGAAAAACACATTCGTAGGTGGTTGGGGATCCACACCCTCAACATAACTCTCTCGGGAGTTATCACTCTCAGGAACGCTGGAACTTTCTTCCGATACGTGTACTGACTGTAGGTGTACTACCACGGTCACGTCCTCTTTAATTGACTTTCTTTCAATCGATCGGGCTTGCTCTACGACCGACTCTCTTTTAGTCGATCTCGCTTCAACGTTTTGTTCATCTCGAACAACACTAATCTCTCTTCTTGGGTACACCCTTGTTGGTGTGCATCCGTGTTCCAGTCCACTCGATATCTTCGAGTGGTAAACCTTCAGCACAGCCTGTGTCTCTACACATTTACCGGAAGCTGGTTCCACAGTGTAGTGGCCTACTAAACTGTGACCTTGTGCAGTCATAATAACGACCGTACCACAAGTCAGGCCATCGCACTCACTCGTGGTATATCCACACGCTTGTAGACGCTCTTATACGTTCATCAGATTTACATCTGATGACTAACGGCAGGCATCTTCACGGATCGATGCTGCCAGCTGACCCATGGCTGGTTTTTTCTAAGCCATGGCAGACCGAGGATGACATCCAATTTGTCATCCAAATCCAGTACGATGAAGTCATCATCGCACTGCTTTCCTTCTAGTGCGTAGTGGATTCCCACTACAATTTCGTTCACTGTTACGGATGCGTCTGTAGCAAGGCACACCGTCATCCTCGTTGAAGGGAACTCTCGCTGAACATAGTTGAGTCTACTATCTCCTAGAGACTGGCGTCCAATGAAACTGTTCGACGCCCCACAGTCAACTAGGGCGCAAAGTGACATTCCACTTGTCACTTCGATCTTCAAAGTAATGAGGAACACCTCATCTCTAGGGGCAGTAACACACAGCGACTGTGTGTTGGGAGCAATCTTCGTCAAGATTCCTGCAAATTCTCTTGACGTTGCTGGATAAGCAGGGTTCTCCGCCCCTACTGACCCTAACCGTTTTTTGACGGTCCGACTTGCTGTCACGGCTTAGCGACATGGTCGGACCCACGCCTCAAATCCTTCCTTGGCCAACAGTGGTCATCACGTCCTGTCTTTAGACGTGTAGCGGTGCTCGGGACACGACACTCATGAGCGTATTGTCCAATCTTTTGACAGCGATGGCATTTTGCCGTTCGCTTGTGACTTAGAGAGCGATAGTTTTTGCTCTTGATGCAACAGAGGAACACCGGTTCGAGACCTCCGGTTTCATGTCGTCTCGTCGGGAGATAGTTTGACAAGTCAGCCTGAGACTGTCTCAGGCTGAATTCTTCTTGTTCCGCATACGCTATCGCCTTATCCAGCGTATGGAAGTCCTCTCGGAACAAGTAGGTCTTCACCGGTCCATCTACAAGAACGTAGATGCACACGTTGATGAGTGTGTGCTCACTAACGGGATTTTTCGTAACGCTGCTCGCAAGGTAGCGCAGGTGCTGTGCATAAGCGTCACGCTTACCTTGTTTTAGCCTCAAGAGTGCAGAGCGTGCTCTGAACTCGGCTCGTGGCGGCTCAAACGTCTCTTTGAGCCGAAACTTCAAGATCTCCTACGACTCAAACACTTTTGGGTCGTGAAGCTTGAGCCCTAAAGCCCAAGCCTTTGCTCGTCCTGTCAAATTTAACAAGGCGAAGGTGACTCGTATCTCCTTCGGTGTAACGGGCCCTGATGGCATCGTCTAACTCGACGAACCATCTCAAAAGGGAATCTTCATCGGTTCCCTAGTACCTTGAGATATCAATCTTCAAGGTTTCGGGTCGACGCCTATGCGTCGGCCCGCCCATCGACTGATGAGAGCCTTGCTGTTGTAGCAAGGCTATCTTCAGTCTTTCGAAGGCAAGTTCCCCTTGTAGGAAATTGTTGATAGCAGCATGTTGCTGGTCTCTTCTTGGAGACTCCAACATACCACTGATGGCGGGTTCGCCCATGAGCACACTCATGCAGCCGACTACCTCCCATTCCGAGTCACTCAGATGGGAGCCTTCACGTGTGACGTGAAAGCTGTCGTCTTCTACGTCCAACATGAACATTTCGGACGGACACTAAGTAATCGTTGGACGGACTACGAAGTGCTACCAGGTGTAACGGGGCATCTTTGCTTGGGGTGCCGCGAAACTTCACGTACACTAGTACGTGCAGAGAAAGCTAATCTACTCAACGACTGAGCTGAGTA